GACCAAGGTTGGGAAGGACCGTTCCTGGTGACCCTCGAGTACACTTGGTTTTGAACGTATGGGTATAAACACAGCTCAGCGGAAGCACTGGCTCAACACTCCCAGGCCCCACCCCGCCCCCCAGGCCACCTAAAGCCACCCAGGTATAGGACGTCAGCCTGATCTTCCTGCATACTTGATCCTCTTTGGATCCTTAACCTGCACAGGATCCTAACGAGATCTGCACACCTGTGTTCCTACACATGAGCACACACAACCCCCCACCCTCCTCAGCCCGTGTTCTTCTCTTTCCCTCCCCACGTTCCCACCTCTTCATCAGATCCTGACCTTGCCAGCTGGCCCCTGGAAGGCAGGGGGCCACAGGCTATGAAGGTGATGACTAAAACTTTCCTACTTCCCACCTAACACCAGCCCTACCTACTGTTTTCCTCCGCTGAGCTCTTTTTCAGAGCAACAGAGTAAAAGCAGTCTTTCTGATAAGACTAAATGCTAAACCACTGCAGTATTTTAGGAACTGGAGAAGCAGCATCCTCTTATCATGGGAGGGGAGGGGGTCTATGTTATTGAGTATCTTCCTTAAACTTTTCACTAATGAGTTTGAAAAACATAAGTAATGAAACCTTCTCTCACTTACAAAAGAAGCCTATTAACAGGCTGTAGTCCTAAAGATATGAAGCAGCCTGAGAAAAGTTCGTGGGAAAGTTGGTTTTCAAAGAGAAGACTCCTAGAATTACAAAGCACGGTAGACACTGCCTTAAGAAATGTTATACTGTTGAAAAAGTATGTAAGTGCTTATTAAAATGCCTGTCCCCTAACTGAAAACTGTCTTAGGATATTCAGGTTAGACACACTCATTCTAGAAAACTAAACCCAAAACAAAAACTGAGAGAAACACTACTTAACCCAAAACAGTACCTCTACTGAAACAGATACATATAGCCTACCAATTCCTAGAATGTACAACTGTTGTGAAACTATGAAATTTTTAAATAAAGCTACTGACATCCGTAGAATTGTCAGAAAAATATCTAAATTCAAAAATCAACTTTTCCCAAAACAAAAGGCTGTGTTTCATTCATACAGGGTTTTTTATCATCTGAAGATATAATTCAGATTACTTGCTCATTAGGGAAAGTTCATTTAGAATTACTCAAATTATATACACACTTACCCATATATCAATATATGTAACTAACTTTTCTATTGAAAATCCATGAACCAACCCTTTGAAAACATCAGAGACTAAAACCTGTGATTTTACAGATCAGAACAATTGATTAAGCTCAAGCAATACTTATTTACATCCACATAACACTAAAAATGTAAAGTGATTTCTTGGCATATCTCTTTCATGAGCAGTGATTTAAATTTGCAATCTTTTCATCACATCCATTATTAATCTCATTAAAGCAACATAAAAGCGTAAAACGTCATGACTCTAGTTATCCGAAAAAGAAAAAATAAAACAAACTGCCTAACAAATCTATTCACACTCTCTGTAAAGGGTACTGTAAAATCTTATATTTTGAAATGATTTTCAACTTACAAAAAAGTTGCAAAAACAGTACAAAGATTTCAAGTACATGCTTCTCCCACCTTCCCCTAGGGTGGACATCTGACTTAACTACTCAGAGTAAGATTATTCAAAATGAAGAAACTAAATGTTGGTACAATTCTACTAATTCAATTACAGACTCCATTTAGATTTTGGCTGTTTCCTCCCTAATTGTCCTTAAAAGAGTATTTTAAAGAATACATTTCTTCAGGAGAGTTTCAAACTCACAAAATTATATTAAGATTTAATCTGTTCTAAACAGTGTAGTGGAAATCTCTTTGTATTTCTATTTCTGCAAACCAAGGCTTGCTTACTAGAACTTATCAAATCAATCTCATTATTATATAAAACCAAACACTTCCTTGCATAGTATATATCACCACCTGGCTTTTAAGAAAATGGGTCAAAGAAGAATGACTTGCCAGTTACTTGGCTTCTCACTATGAAAATGACAATATTAAGCAGAAGCAAAAATGATTTCACTTTCTGCCTCGATTCTTACTTGCATACTTTTTTGCAAAAGTTATTCTGAATGATCATATAGAGCCTAAATAGAAGGCAGAAAGTGAGCCTCCAACATCTTGCTTAACACCTTAGAAATTGTAAAAACGGAAAGTGATGTTTAAAATGAAATGTTTAGAATAAATAAAAGCCCTCCTGAACAAAAAAAAAAAAAACCTAATTCTTTTCTGTTTTCTTCCAATATGTTTCATTCCTATATCTAGCATCGAAATTATGTGCAGTACCCTCCAGAAACGATTAACCAGCAATCACATCAATTGTGAATGCATTCCGAAAGAGGGGAAACAGCAAAGTGTCTTGTGTACAAATCTTGGTTACCAAAAAAAAAAAAAATCCTCCACTGATTACATAAAGCCTCCCGATTCAGTCCATTGGTTGCGCTGAGGCTGAGAAGAATCTGTGATGAAAATGTCAATTTCAAAAGCCGGGACAATGTAAGCCAGTCTAATGTCTGACAGTCCTTCCTCTCCCTCCCTTCTGTGTCAGACAGTTCATGTACAATTTGAATGTCTGCAAAGGATCAGAATTCACATCAGTCAGTCACTTATTCAACAAAGAGTGAGTGTCTGTTAGGTCTAGGGCTCTATGTAAGTGTTCTATGGGAACCAAGAAGAAAAAATAACTGACTTTGCCCTCAAGCCACTTACAATCTACTTCCTCTGTCTCTAAAAGGATCCCCATGTCAGGTGACCAGCAGCCTAATATTTCAATTTCCAGAAGACTCATAAAGAGAAATAAGTGTTGGTATCACTCATAACATCATTATTAACTTTCTCAACATAAAAAATTTTTCAAAAATAAAAAACTGACTTTTCCAAAGCATTAAGCGCTTCCCACATGTACTACCTAAAACCCAAAGTGGAGAGCAAAAGCATAATACACTGCAAGTTATTCTGATCCCTGCACACACAAAATTTGCCAACTTCAATTTTTTTTTTAATTTCATCATTTCTAAGCATTCTCTGGGATACTGCCCTTCAGTTCCTCCACACTAGGTTAACTCTGGCTTTCCAAATTTAAAAAAAAAAAAAATGAAGGCACAGTTCAATTACTGGTAGGATAACAAACATACAGAATGATGTACTTCCTCTAAAAGAAAAATCTGGATAAAATTTAGTAAAAGCAAAGTCTCTTTTGGCTTGACTATTAATTTACATAGCATTAACAAGGACACAGATCAGTACTACTTAGGCTGAAGTTCCTTTTAATGATTAGAAATTGATCATTTAAATAAGTTACGTAAATATTTGTTCCCCACCTCCACCCCAATCCCTTACCCACTTCTTGAAAATCCATCCAAACGCTTTCTGACACAGCTTAACTTGAAACAAATCCCAGGCAGGGAGCTATGGATCTTAATAAAGAGAAAACCATCACTGAGGCCCTCATCCTTGGCTTCTAACACTAATGAGTTACAAGGCTCTAAAACTAGCGAGTCTATTCCATAATTCACCAGTAAAAAAGAACGCAGGCCAAAATCGGCATCAATTTTATAGCAGACAGCAGAGGATCGTTTTGTTAAGTCCTCTGGCGCACGTGCAATTACCAGACAGTTAAGGGCATATTAAACTTCGGGAAAGGGTATTTCTATATTTAAACTGACAGCACACAGCAAGCAGCCAACTCCACGCTCGGCTTCCTTGGAGGCCAACTGTGGTCAAGGGTCTCGGGGCTCAGCAACGCCGGGGCATGGCCTCTGCGCCTGCGTGTCCCCCAGGCTCCAGGAAGTAAAGATGTAAGTTTTCACCGGTCGGAAGGCCAGACGGAAAAGTCTCCAACGTTTTAAAATATGTGTTTTACCACCAGTGAAATTCTCCCTCATCAAACTAAAAAAAAAAAAAAAATTCAACTTACTCATTCCTCCCAAATAAACACAGAAACCTATTTTGCAGCAAAAGTTCAAAGCCAAATAACAGGCTTTTTATTAAAAGGAAAAAAAGCCCAGTTCCACCATTCTACGTAGATCTTAATGAAACTGACACACGCGCGAGAAAGTGTACAAGTGTGCAGGTGTGCAAACGTTGGCTGTCCATCCACGTGTGTGCTCCAGGTAACACCAGGCAGGGTTCGCGCCCCTCCTGACCCCCAACTCCCGGCCATACGTCCTCCCGCAAGGAGCTCTCCGGGCTCCGACTGCAGGCGCGCAGCGGGCTCCTCCCCGCACTCCCTTTCCTGCCCACCCCCGGCCGCGAGCCGCGGGGCGGGCTGACCGCTGCCCCTGGCCGGGGGCTCCGCGGGGCCAGGGGAGCTGAGGAAGAGCCCGTCGGTCCAGAGCCGCGGTTGCCGGGACCCGGGGCCCGATCCTCCTGCCGCCGGGCCGCCGATCCTGCTGCCGGAACCTGCGAGGCCGCCGCCTCGGCTCTCCCGTGCAGCCTCCCGAATGCCAGTACGAGCGGAGGTCACGGCCTCGGCGGGCTGGGCGGAGGCGGGAGGGCAGGGAGCTGGAGATCGCCGCCGCCGGATCCACCGATCGCGCGGGCGCAGCGGGCACGGCGATCCAGCCCGGCAGTCGCTCGTGGCGAGAAGGACCGCGCAGCGCCCACGCCCGGCGGCCGGCGGCTGCAGCTCCCAACTTCAGGCAAAGTTTTCTGCTGTTGCTCTGGGAGCCGACCGGGGACTCCAAGTGGCGCCGTCCGCGCGGACACGCGCCCAGGCCGCGGAGGGGCGGGGGCGGAGATGAGAGCCTGGCTCCCGGGCCAGCCCCCGGGGCTCCTCCGCTCGGCCGGCCCGAGCGCTAGGTGCCCACCCTCCCCACCAGCCCCGATCCCGTGCCGGGGACTGAAAGACGCGGTGCCCATCCCGCCGCGCCCCCTTTCCGGCCTCTCCGTCCGCCGCTCGGGCTCTCCCACCCCAGAGCTGCCAGTGTCCAGAGCCCCCCTCCGGCCCGCGCGCCCCAGGCCCCTGCAGGCGAGGCCCCGCTTACCTGAAAACGAGTCCCCCGCCGCAGTTAGCAAAAGTCCGGTCAAAGTGACCAGGCAAGTCCCAAGTCGGCTCATGGTGCCGAGTGCGCCCCGGGCCGCTCCCCGGCGGCGCTGGGTGGGCGCGAGGGCGGAGGACGGCCGGGAGCTGTGCCTCCAAGGCGGCGAGAAGAGGGTGAACAGCCAAAACCAGAACCAGACGCTCCGAGTGCCAACAGTTGCAGAAGTCCCAACTCCGGCGGCTCCCGGGGCCGGAGGGCGAGGAGCCGGGGTCCCCCTGCCCTGTCGCCGGCCCCGCTCGGAGCTGGCGCGGCTGCGAAAGAGCGCGGAGGGCGCGCCCGCGGAGCCAAAATCCACCCTCCGTGCCGGAGGCTGAGCTGGCTCGGTTCTTCCTGGGCTCGGGACCCAAGCCTCCGGCGCCGCGGTGCCCGGGGCCGGGGCCGGGGGCGAGGCCGCGCGCGTCCCGCCCGCCGCCTCTGCGCGGGCAGCCGAGCCAGCCCCCGGGCGGCGGCGCGCCGATGGCCGAGCCCGCGCCGGCTGCGCGCGGGGCTCCTGCTCCCCGACTGACTGGCGGGGCCCCGCAGGCCGGCTGAAGGGAGCGCCCACGTCACGGCCGCCCGGCCGCCGCGGCCCGCTAGAGGGCGTGATCGCCCGGCCCCGCCGGCCCGCACTCGGCGCTCGGCGGCCGCGGCGCCTCCGGGGGAGCCGGGCGGGGGGCGGCGTCACCGCGCCGGGAGCGGCGGCCGGGCGGTGCCACCCGCTCCCGCCCGCTCCCTCCCGGGCCCCGGTTTCGCCGCCGGCTTCCGGGAGGGTGACCGCTCCGGGGCCGCGCCGCTGGACCAGAAGTTTGTCCCGGGTCACGGGCCGCCGGGAGTTGGCGAGCGGGGCGGGCGAGACGGCGGCTCCGATCCCGGCGCCGGACGGCAGGGTCGGCGGGTAGGACCGGCGGAGCCGGGAGTCGCGGGGCCGGCGCTCCCCGGCGGCTGCGGGCCGGGCGAGCCGGCAGAGCCGGGGCGCTGCGAAGGGCTGCGGTTTCTCCGCGCCGAGAAGTTGGCGGGCGCCCGGGCGGAGAGCGGCGGCCGGGGCACCGAGACCCCGCATCGGCCCCGCGGGACACGCGCGCCCGGGAGCCCGGCACCCGCCGAGCCGGACGCGCCCGGCCGCTTCATGGCGCCCCCGCCGACCCGGGGGTTGGGGGTGGGGGACCCGAGAGAGGCGCCGGCCGTGCACAGGAGGCGGCGGTCACACGGAAACGAGGGCTCGGACCTGCGGAACCTGTGATTTCTGTATCTGGTGCAAAGTGTTGGGAAACGCGGGAGGAGGAGGCGTGGGGAATGAATCAAATGATGTCTGGAAATATATCACTTACCGTTTGGGGTCTGGAATGCCTATTTCATTAAGTGGATAAAAAAGCTTCTAATGCTTCAGTAAAGAGGTTCACTTTTTAAGATTGCAAAAAAAAGGGGGGGGGTGGGGTGGGGCGGGGGGAGAACTATTTCTATCTTCCTCAGAATAGACGGAGGGAGCCAGCATGGAGCGTCTGTAGACGCCAGACCTATATGAACACGATAGAAGGCCTGCGTAGAGGTTCGATTAGAAACCAAGTAACTACCAGTGAGTAGCACTTGTTCCAGCAAGAGGACACACCCCTCACTCAGGTGTACCTGGGGCTACCCCGAGCCCCGTCCTCACAAAGGCCCAAAAGGTGAGTTGATCCCATGCTCACCTTGACTCTGAGGTCTCCAATGGACCCTAGAATCAATAAACAGGGATATGTCATAGCTGTCCCTGCCCAGGGCCAACTGGACTGGCCTTTTGCCTTTTGTGCTCCAGCCAACAGCCCCTCTTTCTTGCGGAATTCCACTTATTATATCCTATATAATAATATTATATATTACACAATTCCACTTATTATATTCCATTTATATATCAGAAGTGCTTCTTCAGGGGCTCTGTATTAATCATTTACTTCTTAAGGACATTACATCACCCAACCTCTTTTTGCAAGTCTGTACTTGTTGGGCCTTATCTCGATTGCAAAATAACATTGGAAGTCTGGAGAAGCAGGCAAGTCACATACCTCGGAGGATCAGCAGTAAGGGTCTGTCCCCAGGGCTTTCCCTGGCACCCAGGTCCTGCCTGCACTCTGATGGAGCCCAAATTTGCTTTTTTAAAAAATGGTCATGGTGCTTTCCAATGGAGCTGTTATGTTAATAAATGTGAGATGAACCCAGATAAGGAGGGAGACATCAATCTAGTCATTTTCTTTCTGAGTAATTTCTTTGAGCGAAGATGTTAATATTAGGATAGGATATCATTTGCAGAGTAGTATGTGAATTAGTTTGAAAATCTCTGAAGGCATGTATCTCCCAGGCACTATGCTCTGTGCAGGAGGCTGTCTTAACTCTGGGCTCCCCCAGGAACAGGCCTGAAGGTAAAGATTTATGTGTAAGTGGCCTTAGGTTCTGTTGAGAAAGTAATCCCAGGAAACAGTACAAGAGGCATAGGAAAGTAAGACAGAGGGGAAAATCAGCAGAAGTCAATGTAGGGAATGAGCAGGTTGCCACTGTGGGCCCCTAGGACTGACTCCCTTGGGGACTTCCAGGAGAAAATATGGAGCACCCCACCCTGGGGCAAGGATGTGTGAGGTGGCTGGGGGGATGGGGGCGTGGGAGGCAGGTACACAGAGTGGGGTCCCTGCAGCAGTGGTGAGAAAAGCCCTGAGGGGCCTCCCAGGGCTGCTACCCTGGTAACCTGAAGGTGCTATGTCCCTTCCCCTGGTTACTTAAAACTCAGTGGGAGGCCCAATGAATTTCTATTATCTCTGATCTCTAAATATTACAGTGTTAAGCCGACTCTGCCCTTATTAGCCTGCAATCCACATTGCAAACAGTGATGGGATTTTTGCCAGCAGCTCAATCCCTGGCCATTCTAATAGCTACTGATTATTCACTCCCTCTTCCAGATAACTGGCCAAAGCAGCACTGAGCCCAGATGGAAGGCCTGTATCAGAAGGAATGGACTTGACTTCCTCTAAGGAAGGATGCTGCAGGAGTCCTACCAGTGGGATATTTCCTGTCACTTTTTTTTTTCCCCCAAGCAGAGAAGATTTTTTTTTTTTTTTAATCCAACCACATGACACTCCTGTCTCTCTGGGAACAGCAGTGACATTTGCAGAATGGCTGGTCAGAGTTAGGGGTGCTGTAAAGCCAGCCCCTATCATATATCTCAAGCTTTCAAGGGACTTTCCTGGTGGTCCAGTGGCTAAGACTCTGGACTTCCACTGCAGGGGGCCCAAGTTTGATCCCTGGTCAGGAAACTCAGATCCTGCATGCTGTATGGCACAGCAGAAAGAAAAAAAAAAAAAAAGATTTAAAAGTTATTCATCAAGATGGCAAACTATTATATAAGGTGTTTTATCTTCCTACATTGACAAAGATAACAATATTGAAAGACAAGAAAGCCTATTGTCAGACTTGCCTGATGGTCAAGCAGCTAAGACTCCAGGCTTCCAATGCAGGGGGCCAGGGTTTGATCCCTGGTCAGGGAACTAGAGCTCACATATCGCAACTAAAGATTCGAGTTCTGCAGCTAAGATTCAGTGCAGCCAAATAAATATTAAAAGAGAAAGCCTATAGTTTTCATATGTCAAAAGTTAGCAAAGTATCAAAAACAAGTGAATGTATCACTGTACCTATCTATATTCCCTGTTGATAGTCTGGGTGTATGGATAAGTAATAAAGACATACATAATTCATGCATTATTAGGTATTTATTCCATAAATATAATTTTCCCTTATTTTAGTAAAATCATTCAAATGTTGTCATCATGGAGATGATCACATCATTTATGTTCTGGTAACACCAATGATCAGAAGCTATGTTGTTCTGTGTGGAAGGTTTCTAGCCACATTTCACCTGGTTTTGTTCCTCAGTGGTTCTTGGAAGTCCTCAGTAGCCACATGTGGACAGCAGAGATACAGAATGTTTCATCATCACAGAAGGCTCTCTGGGAAAACACTGAGAAAGGATTTGTGTACTCAAATTCTGCAAAACTTGAGGATATATTTCCGTCAAAAATGTTACCTCAGATTCTTGAAACCTGAAAATTAAAAATCTTTCCTATAGCTGTTGAAAGCTCCTTTCGTTTTAAAAATATTTTCTTTATTTGTCTGCACTGGGTCTTCTCTGTGGTATTCAGGATCCTCCATCTTTGCTGGGGCCTGAGGGATTTTTAGTTGCAGCATGTGGGATCTAGTTCCCTGCCCAGGGATGGAACCCAGGCTTTCTGCACTGGGAACAGAGTCTCAGCCACTGGACTACCAGGGAAGTCCCTACCTTTGGTTTTGACCCAAATCCCAATGGAGAACTTCAATAGGCTTGGCCAGATCCTGGCACAAATTCGGTTGTCCAGGACTGAGGTCTGAGTAGTCACATTCCTCTCCATCCAACCTAGATTTCCAATTATACTGCTCCACAAAGAAGAGCCACTGGACAGCCAGGGAAGTCCCAAGGTTTTGATTTTTAATTGATTTGACTTTTCCTTTAAGGAAGTGGCTCTGCGGTGACATCACCTTCACACTGAGGTGCGTCCATCTGCCATGGCAGTGGCAGTCCACCCTGGAAGTCTTGACAGTGCCCTTCCCTTCCAAGACCAGGGATCAAAAGCCAAGGGGAAGCATTTCTCTGGAGCCTGAGCAGAGCTGGTTTTGAGTTTTAATGTGTAGGGATGCTTTATGGTCTCTCAACACTGAGCATCAGGTCCCTGGTGACAACGGTGACCATGGGCCCCTTGCTACATTGGTTTTTATAGGTTAGTGATGCTCAGGACCCTGTAAGGTCCAGGCCCAGGGCAGGAGCCCACACTGCCCACCGTTTGTACTGTCGTGGTATTTTGGACATCAGTAAGCCCATGACACTTGTCCAACCCCATGAAAGTCAAAATGTAAATTAAAAAAGAACACTGATCTGACCACAACCCATTCCCACCTATCCTCAATATTAGGCTGAACTTTGAGGTTAACCACAGGCAGAATGGCTTCTTAGTTGGCCCTAGTGGTAAAGAACTTGCCTGCCAA